TTGAATATGTTGTTATATTTAATGAAATGACTGATAGCCAATATATACACAAGTCGGTTATACAGAATCAAGGAGGATCAACTAGAATAAAGTATACTGTTCAACAAACTATACATGGAATAATAACAAACTATTCTTGCTAAAAACTAGGACTTAGTTGCTAAAGGATAAGATCAAAGGTGATCTTCTCCTAACACGCCCCCTCAAGTTGGAGCATGAAGTGACGAAATGCCCAACTTGCTGCGAAGAAAACTGAATTGCTTCATGCCAAGCGGTTTGGTAAATATGTCTGCGAGTTGCTGATCTGTACGAACGTAGGTAGTAGTGATTGTATTGCTGAGAACATGATCGCGTACAAAATGACAATCAATCTCTATATGTTTGGTACGTTCGTGGAAAACTGGATTAGCAGCTATTTGCATGGCAGATTGGTTATCACAGTGCAACTGCATAGGGTGTGAATGTGGAACATCAAGCGAGTCCAGAAACGATTTGATCCATAACAACTCAGCTGTAGCTGCTGCCATTGAACGATACTCAGCTTCAGCGGAGGAGCGAGACACTGTGGGTTGCTTCTTTGTTTTCCAAGAGATAGGAGAAGTACCCAACATGATAAAATAACCAGTAACTGATCGACGGGTGAGTGGACAGCTAGCCCAATCCGAATCAGAATATCCACGAAGAAGGAGATCATTGTCGGATCGAAGGAGTAAACCTTGGCCAGGATCAGTTTTGATGTACCTTAAAACGCGGATGACAACATCATATTGAGCAATAGTAGGATTTTGCATGAACTGGGAAAGAACATGGACGGAGTAACTTAACTCAGGTCTAGTAATTGTCAAGTAAACCAAACGTCCTATGAGTCTTCTGTAACGTGCGGGATCCGAGAATGGAGGACTTTCTGTAACTGCAAGCTTATGATTTGTTTCGAGAGGGAAGGCACATGGTTTGCACGCAAGGAGACCAGCGTCTTCCAATATGTCGAGAGCGTACTTTCGTTGGCTCAGAAAAAGACCTGATGGACCGTGAGCTATTTCGATGCCAAGAAAATATTTAAGAATCCCCAAATCCTTGATGTGAAAGCATGACTGGAGAAAGACCTTGACATCGGTGCATAAGGCATCATTGTCGCCCGTTAGAATAATGTCATCAACGTAGATGAGAAGAGCAACAAAGTGGCCATCTTTGTGTAAGGTGAATAGGGTGTAATCTGCCTTGGATTGGATGAAGCCATATGATTCAATGGAAGACCGCAACTTAGCAAACCAATTGCGAGGGGACTGCCGCAAACCGTAGAGAGATTTACGTAAGCGACATACTTGATGTGGTTTGTGATGATTGAAACCTTGTGGAACGCGCATGTAAACTTCTTCGGTAAGGTCTCCGTGTAGAAAGGCATTCGTAACATCCAACTGGTATAGCTGCCATGATTTGGCAGCAGCTACCGCAAGAAGTGTTCGGACACTCACCATTTTGGCTACAGGAGCATATGTATCGAAGTATTCTTCTCCAGCTATTTGATTGTTACCGGCAATGACCAACCGTGCTTTGAATCTCTCCACTGTACCATTTGAGTTGTACTTAATGCGGTATACCCACTTGCATGGAATGGCACGTTTTCCTGGTGGCAAAGAAGTGAGTTCCCACGTGTGATTTTGTTCAAGGGCATCTATTTCTTTTCGCATTGCTACACGCCACCTTTCATCAGTTACAGCATCCTTGAATGTTTTTGGTTCAACACCAGAAGAAATGGCAGCAAGGAATTGTTGATGTTTGGGAGAGAATCTAGAACAAGAAACAAAGTTAGCAATAGGATAAGCCATACCTGAGGAAGGACTGGAAGAAGTAGAAGAAGCTAGTGGATTATGTGCGATGACTTTGGAGCATTCGAAATCTTGGAGATATGATGGAGGACGGCGAGAACGGTGACCACGTCCCAAAGGTGCAGATGGATGTGTGACTTCTGGGGGCTGTTCTTGTCGGATAGAAAGCTCATTGGAGACAGTAGGGGCAGATTCGGGCTGAGCCTGTTCAACAGGGAGAGTGTCTTCAATTAAAGGGACAGGGTTGGTAACAACTTGGGAATCAAAGGATGGGCTTTGTGGAGCAAGGGTTGGTTCGGGTGATATGGGGTTATGGGGGTTTGGGTCGTGAGGAATATCAGTGGTAGGAATGACTGTGGTTGGTGCAAAAGGAAAGGTGTTATCTTCAAATACCACGTCTTTGGATACAAAAACAGTATGTGTTTCAAGGTTATAAAGCCTCCAACCCTTTTTGCCAAAAGGATATCCCAGGAACAGACACCGAGTTGATCGAGCTGCAAACTTGTCCAACGGTTTGGGACGTGGATGAGCATGGCAAAGACATCCGAATATGCGAATATGATCATAGCTGGGTGTGCGGTTGAAAAGACATTCATATGGTGTTTTTCCTTGGAGAAGAGGAGTGGGGGTTCTATTGATTAAATGTACCGCAGTTAGAACACATTCACCCCAAAACTCGATAGGAAGACTAGCTTGAAAGCGTAATGCTCTTGCAACATTCAAAATATGTCTATGTTTCCGTTCAACACGACCATTCTGCTGTGGTGTGTCTACACATGATGTTTGATGTATAATTCCCATATCGGAATAAACCTTGCGGAGATTATGAGCACAAAATTCTGATCCATTGTCGGAGCATATTATTTTGACCATGGTATTAAACTGATTACGTACCATGAGAAGAAATCGAGTTAAGTATTGGAACGTTTCAGACTTGGTGGTCATTAAATAAACCCAGACGTTTCTGCTATAATCATCCACAATTGTTAAAAAATATCTTGCACCGGTTAGAGAGGTAGTTTGATATGGACCCCAGATATCGCAGTGAATAAGATCAAAGCATGCAGTAGTTTTATTAATGCTAATAGGGAATACAGTACAAGTTTGTTGTGCGCGTAGGCAAATGTCACAAACTGAAGGAGAATGACCCCTATTTTTATTCACTGTAACAAAAGGAAGAAGGCTTAAAAACTGAAATGAAGGGTGACCCAATCGACGGTGCCAAACATCTGCATTCTGTTGAGTGTGAGCCGCACATGCAGTAGAGATGGATTTGTTGTTGGATGAGTCATGCACATAAACACCAGCTTGCAATCTACCCAGTCCAGTCTTGATCCTCGTTATGGGGTCCTGCAATTCACAGCCATTGTGAGTAAAAGAAATGATGCAATTTGTATCAGCAAGTAATTGAGCAACTGATATGAGGTTGCATTGTAATTTGGGAACATATAACACATTCTGAAGAGAAATATGAGATGTCAACTTGAGACTGCCACTGTGATTGGAAACAAGTTGATCACCATCAGGTAAACCTATTGTAGTGGGTGGAATAGATGTAACATTGGAGATTAAATGGAGGTTCCCTGTCATGTGTTGAGAAGCGCCACTATCCACCAACCAGGTAGAAGGCAGAGTGTGATTACCAGAAAGGGATGTAGTGTTAGCAGACGGTGTAGTGGAGGAAACAACCATGTTGGCAATTTGCTGTAGAAGCTCAGGACTCAGGTTGGGAATCGAGTTTTGGTTGGACACTATAGGTGTTGCAGCTGCTGTTTGTGATGCAGAAAAATTGAATGGGTTGGGACGCTTGTCATTAGCATTGATATTGACAGCGGAAGAATCTGAATCAGAATCAGCCATTGGGAAAGTGGATCGATACCTTCAAACTGATACCATATAGAAAACTAAGAGGATTTGAATATGTTGTTATATTTAATGAAATGGCTGATAGCCAATATATACACAAGTCGGTTATACAGAATCAAGGAGGATCAACTAGAATAAAGTATACTGTTCAACAAACTATACATGGAATAATAACAAACTATTCTTGCTAAAAACTAGGACTTAGTTGCTAAAGGATAAGATCAAAGGTGATCTTCTCCTAACATAGTTAGATGAATCTATGTATTGTCCACAAGTTCATTGATACTTTATGGATTAGCTTTCACAAACATGAATCTGGCCACACAATTTATATCACAATATATGCTTAATTGTCGGATTATAATTATGAATGGCGACACAATAGATGATATGCGTTCTTCTTCGACACTATAGATAAGGAAAACAAAAAGCAAGGGTCACAATCCGATAGTTGACGGCTAGCTGGTGTGGTGATGATTCAAAAGATGGGTTTTAGAGACCTTAACAAAAGGATATTGTTTCTAGCTCTCTCTCGCTCTCTCTCTCTCTTTTTTCTTCCGGGTCACGACAAATAACAAAATAGTAACTCCACTAGGAGTTTGAACATAATGGAGAGTAGAGGACTTCAGAAATGTCTGTCACTAATCATTTCAAATAAGTTTAGCATCTCTCCATTTTCCATATTTAATTAGTCATAATGCATGCGTAAGAAAGACAACATTTTATAATAAGGATCCGAGGAGATCATGTTTAACTTTTGCTTGACAAATTGATTAGGAGTTTGCATTTAATAAAATCAGCAAATAATATACAGTAATGAATAATATCCCTCTAGCTGTTAAATGATTAATTATGATTATAATTGAAAAGAAGAAAGAGAATTTAAAAATTACATAATCTACTTGCTCTATTAGAGAAATTATTGCACCACTATAGCCTAGTGGTGTTGGGTGTGTTTAGGGTGTATTAGGTGTGCGGTTCGATTCCTGTAATGTCCAAAAAAAAAATTAGAGAAATTATTATTTGATTAACCATTCCCACTAAATAATTGAAATTTCAAGCCAATGATTGATAACTACGTAAATTATATGAGTTATATTTATTTTATATTGTAAGAAAATGCGTATCTCATGTTATAGAAATAAAATTACAACAGGACTAACTCACAAGAGAAGAGAGAAAAATTAAAAGTGAGATCCACTACTATTTTATATTTGTGTGTGTAAAAAACTTGTTTATGTTATCCAATATAACATAAATATAACCCAAATTATATATAACACACATACAGCCACGAGCACACTCGTGCGGTACACCTATGCAATGGGGCGTGTCAACTGTCAACGCTCGAAAGCCAGAGTTTCATAGTTTCATAGTTTCATTCATTGTTGTTTTCATTCTGTGTCGGTGGTAGAGCACCACAACAACGCAGATCGAGAAAATGCAAGCATCAATTGCATGCTCTCCACATGCAAATGGAGTCATCAACGTCAAAGTGCAATCACACACCAACCTTGTTTCAACAATCATTTCCCCCAAACCGAATTCTATTTTGACCCGAACCAAATCTTCTTCTCAGCTTACACTAGGATGCGAATTTCAACCTCAACCACTGCCAAACACTTCCACTTCAAAATTACACAGATTCTGCACTTCCAACGTTGGTCCACTTCGGTGCGGCATTTCGTCGAACGGGTACAGTGCAAATGAAGGTAGGAGTCTTCGGGAGTGGGTTGAGCTGGCTGGTGAGGCCATATCAGCCGCATATCCAGTGTTGGTAACAGTTGGGTGCGTGTTGGGGTTGATGAAACCGAGTTCCTTCAATTGGGTCACTCCCAAATTGAGCATTGTGGGCCTCACCATCATCATGCTTGGAATGAGTATGACTCTCACCTTTGATGATCTTCGTGGGGCTCTTGCTATGCCTAAGGAGGTCCTCTCTGGTTTTTTCCTTCAATATTCGGTTAGTATCCATGCACTGTGCTAGTTATCTGGAATTTGTTTTAGTTTGTTGTCCCTTTTATTCATTTCGTTGTTGACAATGGGAATTTTAGTTTTTCAAAGAAGCAACACAAAAAGATTTTTTATGTGAATTTATGGATATTTACTTCCTAGCACCGACATAAAAGTGTCATGTTCGACACTTCCTGACACGACACCTGGACACCCGCCGACACGTTCCAACATCTATAATATTTGAAATTTTATTATATATCATTGAAAAATTGATTGATGTTTTACCGAACTGATATAAAAATTAAAAATAGATACCGAAAAAATCTCACTGGAGTATATAAGAGATTTTCAATTTGAAAATCTAATAGTAAATATTTATATCTTTTTTTTTTTTCGTAAAATTAACGGGTATTATAAGTTTAGTTTTATGTTTTTATTAAATTATTAAATATAATATATACGGCATAAATTAAAAGTATTATTTAATATCAAAACGTGTCCTAACATATCAAAATTTAACATTTTTTTAAAATTAAGTGTCTGAATGTCGTGTCGTGAAACATAATTTACTTCTATATGCACATGCAAATAGATGGAGATGACTAGGATAGAATGATACCAAACAGCACCTTCTTTTGCCTGTTTACTAGCATTCTAAACTGTTTATATTGATGGGGTATCCTTGTTTGTGTGAATTGCTGACAATTTTCAGGTTATGCCAATATCTGGGTTTCTTGTTAGCAAACTCTTAAATCTTCCATCACATTATGCTGCTGGTTTAATATTAGTTGGGTGCTGTCCAGGCGGTATGAATTTTAATCTGGTGATTTATGCTTTCTATCCACTCTTCACCTACTTGAAGTAGTCTTTGTTTGGTTGCAGGCACAGCTAGTAATCTTGTTACATATCTTGCACGGTATATTGATTCTCAGAACTGTTATTCCAATTAATGCTTTTAATGGATCTGATGATCTATTTGCTTTGCTAGTGGAAATGTGGCGCTCTCTGTAATAATGACAGCTGCAAGCACTCTAGCTGCCGTGGTTGGTATACTATAATTTTAGTCCTATCTTTGGTTTTCTTATTTGATATGCAATCTCGATAACAAAGATGTAGTGCTGGAAGGCATTGGAATCAATTACAAATAATACCATGTCCATTTCTCAAGTTCAATATGAGATTGTTTGATGATTTCAATGTCTTTAACCCGAAGTGGTTGATTAGAATAATTTTGGGAAGTAGACAAGAAATTGTTCTAAAGAGTAAGATTTTGCATGAAACGTGCCATATGGCCTTTGGCTTGATGGTAACAGAACTGCTGTGCTTCGGCTGCTGCCCACGTTTGAACTCAGGCAGTGGCAAATTTTCTCCATCACATATTTTGCCCCCTCTTTGGTATCGTAATAGTAAAAAAGAAAGTTTTTAAACATAAGTCTTGTTTGTTTTATGGAAAACAATTCGGAGTGTATTTTCTATATATTTAACTGCTGAAGCATAAATGATTCTTTCTTCTTTGTGTTTGTATATTTGTCTGCTTGATGCAAAAGTATAATTTTGTTTCTTATATTTATTTGAAAGATAATGAGAGTGAGTCTAGAGCAGTGGTAAAACTGCTCTTTTGTGGCTGAAACAGTAATGGGTTCGAATCTAGAGAACAATATCTTTGCAAAAATGCAAAGGTAAGATTGCGTATAAGGATTTCCTCACCCCCACATTCACAAATCAAGGTTTCATGAGGAGCTAGGAAACAATATCTTTGTAAAAATGCAAAGATAAGATTGTATATAAGTATTTCTTCACCCCTACTTTCAGAGGTCGAGGTTTCATGAGGAGCTCTTGTCTTGTCTTGTTTATTTGAAAGATAGATTCTAATCTATCTTGAACAAGAAGAGATTTTACATGAAATTTAATGGAATATCAATCGGACTAATTTATTTACTTACATGCAAACAAAGTTCTCAAACACCACATGAAATTATCTTTTAATGAATTAGCTATGTAATGCCTATTACAATGAACTGCAGAGATTCTATAAACTTCATATTTTGTATGACGTTCTAAACTTTTTGCCTCATTGAGTTACTTAAATTTCAAAAAGGACACCTGATTGAGTGAATTGGTGCATCCCTAATAGACCATACATAGTCTCTGTATATATTAGTGTGGGAATTAATTACAGTGATTTAATTCCTTAAATACTTAATCCTAACTGACCCTATAGTATATACATGATATCCTACGGTAATCATCTATGATACTTTAACATTTTATATATATTCTATTAAGATATTCTGATACAGACCACTACTGAAAATAAAGAACAATCAACCAAGAACAAAGACTTTTGGCCCGAAGAACATCAAATTTCCATATATTCAACCAGAACAATTACAATGACAGTAAACAGAGACGATTACAGTGACAAAGGAAATACAATGAACGGAAAAGTAACAAAGCACAAAGAAATAAAAGATAGTGTGAGACAATTCTAAAGGTCTCACTCTCTCCCAATCCCAAAAGGGCCCAATCACTACTCTCATTCCAGCTCCCTCAAAATAGTCTTTCCCCCTCTATATATCCCAGCCTTGTGTGATGCTAAAAAGGTGACCCCAGCCAACTTAATGCTGAGTCAGCACCTGTAAATGGCAACAATACCATGTGCCTCTTCCTCTCATACACCTTCCCAAATCTTCTACTTCGCAGAATCGTATCATATTCTAACAATTTTGTCACTCCCCCTCAAGCTGGTGCATATATATCATATGTGTCAGACTAGTCACATATATATTTGACTTAGGGGCCTATGATAGATAGCCTTAGCAAAAATATCAGCGAGTTGGTCATAGAAATGAAGAAATATTGTTTTGATCTCCCCAAATTGAATTTTCTTTGAAACGAAGTGACAATCAATCTCAATGTGCTTAGTTCTTTCATGAAAGACTGGATTTGAGAATATATGTAGTGCGACCTGATTGTCATATATTAGTTTCATTATATCAGAACCTCTTTGATCAAGCGGTGACGAGTTCGATCCTCACACTCTCATTCTATTAATAAATATTGTGAAGTTTTTTAACAAAAGTAGGTGAGTCTGTGCATTGTTCACTCTTCAAGTCTAATGTTTTCTTGTGTGAAGTGGTGTGTTAGAGAAATATAAAACCATTAATGTGGTTTCCACCTAACGGCTTAAATTTTTGGGTCCATTTTGCTTCTGTCATGGTTAGTTGGCCACACATGTGAGTCATGCAAACTATCAGACTTGAGCTTCATTTTGTTGGCTTGATATTGGGCTTCAATGTATTGTTATGGGCTGCTTGGACACTTCTAGTGAGACATATTTACATATTCTATGATACTTCAACATATTTACATATTCTAACAATTTTAACAAAGTTCTTCAAAAAGGCTGCTCAGGAGGAGGAAATAAAAAGGGGATTATGATGGAATGGTACTTACATATAAACTTTTTCTCACATTGACTCGGTGAAAAATTAACATTGCAGGTCATGACTCCTCTTCTGACGGCCAAACTTGCCGGTAATTATGTAGCTGTGGATGCAGCTGGCTTATTGATTTCAACATTGCAAGTAAGCTTTCCTTCTCCAATGTCTCTGTTTCTAGTTTTTTGTGATGTTCCTTTGTCATTGTTACTCCATTTTCTCACCAAAAGGAATTGTCATTCCCTTCTTTCTCAACAGGTCGTGCTTTTACCTGTATTGGGTGGTGCATTTCTGAATCAATATTTCCAACCCCTGGTTAAAATTGTCTCTCCGTTGATGCCACCCATTGCTGTAGCAACTTCATCAATTTTATGTGGAAGCGCAATAGCCCAGAGTTCTTCAGCAGTCCTTATGTCTGGTGGACAAGTAATTTTAGGGTCCTTCCTTCTTCATGCTTTTGGGTTTTTCTTTGGTTATGTATTTGCAAGAATGCTTGGGGTAGGTGTGGCATCATCTCGAACCATATCCATTGAGGTTGGCATGCAGGTAAAGTTGGTATTCTATAATTGCATTATCATTTTACTTCAGGTTTTTCTGATCATTGGCTCAATTCCATCCACATCAAATTACCTTTTTTGCCACTCCTTGTTGCAGAACTCCTCTCTCGGGATTGTTCTGGCTTCTCAGCACTTTGGAGATCCCCTAACTGCAGTTCCTTGTGCTGTTTCATGTGTGTGCCACTCAATCTTTGGTAGTATCCTCGCAGGAATTTGGAGACGCTCTGTGCCTGCCAAGATGAAGGACTGAAAATATTTAGATGTATAAACTTTGAGATTAATGTTTCTCATATTGTAAGAAATAAAAATACTAAAACATGTGTGGGGTTCATGTGAATCTATATAAAGAGAAAAGAGAGAAAAAGAAAACATAGGTCCCACGCATTTTTATATATGTGTAAAAAAAATACTAATATCATAAGCTTTTGGGAACGGTCGTTACAAATGTGAAATAAATAAAATAAATTTTGGTTGGCTACATACAGATATCTGCCTCTACTGTTACAGTTTATCGTTAAGACTACACTTCTTAACGATAAAGCTTAGCCCAATTAATATAATTTTTTTTGGTCTCATGTACCATCTTCAGTTCACAAGAATATTTTGAAATTCATCAATGAAACTGAATAACGCATCTAAATATTGTTCTTGGCATAGCAGTCTCAGCCTCTACGGCATTCCAAAGTCCTTATTAGTATATCGCTTACAAGCCTTGATGTAAAATCCTTTCACTATCTATTCAGTCTTGAGGGTTTTTTTTTTTTTTTTCAGTACAAAGTCTTGAGGTATTTTTAATCACTTTATATTTGACAAGCTGATTAGTCCAACCTACCATTGTACAATTTGTATGAATATTACTACACCGTGGCTTCACCTCCATAATATCATCCATACAGATCCAAGATAATACAAGTAGTCTACAAAGAGTAGAATGACTGGCTTGGACTTCCCTAGGCACACATCATAATATTATGCCTATTTTTTTATTATCCTTATTCTACCTACTTCTTATTAACACTGATAGATCATAATCTCAAAAGGAGAGAAAAAATGAAGGTCAATTAAAATAGAGATCTAACGATATTGGAGAAAAGTAGATAAAATAGACATAAAAAATATAAGCATATCTTATCCCCTTGTTTAATGATATTCTTTTGATTTTTTTTAAGTAAATAATATAGAGATATCCCCATACAACCTTCTTCAACCACGTTTTCCTCATAATACGACTCCAAGGCTAGCTCTTCATTGGACCACTGTCACTAGAGAAAGTGTGAGACTAATCCCCTTTGAGAGGGAGACGGTTTCCCTCTCTAGCACCCAAAGAATTTCAAGAATTTGCTTTGACTGTTTGAATCCCTAACCAAAACAAACCCTTGAACACTCAGTTGCCAATTGAGCTACCTTTAGGGGTTAGTTTTTTTTTTTTTTGTACATACATACATACATACATATATATATATATATATATATATATATATATATATATTGGCTTAAGCTCTTTACCAGCTGAAGCAGCCACAAGGAAATACCAACTTGATGGGAGTTATGATATACATGGGTCAAAATCAGGCTTTTTCACCTTTTTACCCCTTATTAATTAATTAATAACCATTTTGCCCCTGACCAAAACAGACAAAAAATGGCTGCTGGGAGATTTAGTCGACTAAATCTCCCTATTTAGTCGACTAAATCTTCATATTTTACAAAAAAAAAATAAGTCAGTATGATTTTAATCGATTAAGTAGAGAGATTTAGTCGATTAAATCTCCCAACAACCGTTTAGTCGATTAAAAATGCAAGGTAGTCGATTAAAGAGGGGCAGATTGGTAGATAGTTTCGAATCAGGGGCAAAATGATTATTAATTAATTAATAAGGGGCAAAAGGGTGAAAAAGCCGTCAAAACCAGCATGCTTAACTATCTATTTGAATTTTGAAAGTTAATTTGATGACACCATATTCTACTTCACATATTCAAGTTAAGAATGTGAATTATAAATTATTTGGTTATAAATGATTTAATAGCATATCATGAATTTGTTCTCCTAAAATTTAAAGCTCTTGGATGAACATATAATAATGGTTTTTTTTATATTATATCACTAGCACTTTCTAATTATATGGATGTATAGGTGCGTGATTCATGCATTGTCATTTGGAGCTGCACACTGGTTAGGGGTTAAAAGGCTTTTGTTGTTAAAGATGTACTAGGACAAGAACATCCCGTTCTTTCTCCACCAAAGGACCTTCCCACATGCATGCTAGTCATCGAAGAAATTGTAAAAAAGTTCTAATTTATATTAAATGATATTCAAAAATCACTTTTTTTTTTACTTCTATTAATATGTTAATATTTCTCGCAAAAGTTGATCAATTATTACATGGTAAAATGCGAGTAAAGATTTAGAATATTATACAATTCACATATTCTTTTCCTCTTGTTTCCGTGAGCATTCCTATTCTTCAGTATCATTTAACTTCGTCAATTTAGTTCTTGAATTAATTTATGTGAATGAATTAGTGCTCAAATTTTCAAAACTAACATTAAGTTAGTTATTCTTAAGGAATAAAGAGAGATAATACAAGGAACAACTTGATACAAGTTTTAAAAATGGTTAAGCAATAAATTTGGTTCTTATTTCTTTTTAATTTATTCATTTTTTTTTCATTTGTGAATCGGTTCATATGGTTATAATTGCTCGTAAAATGATTTCTATTCTAACTATATTAGTTTGTGGCATGACTTGAAAAACTCATACCTGTTGACATTGATTTTATCCAAGCCATCATCTCAAAGACTACTATAATAAGTTAAATAAATTGATTTTGTTACTAAATAGGTAAAATTTAGAATTATATTTTGGTGTTCCATTAAAAATGAAGAAGAATATACAGGGATGAGTTTAATGTGAAAAATTACATTAAAAATATGCTCTTAATTTTTTTACCTCAAATTAATAAAGAATTTGAAATTAAATCTAAGACAGGAGCAACGAGAGTTTCAAGCAAAGGCAAATAAAACTCATAATGTGACATTATTTAAAAAATATTTGTTTATTTGGTTTGAGATCACTAGTATTTAGAGAGCCACTTTAGCTACCCGAATTGATCTACTTAAAGGGGACAAAGTGTAATGATAAATTATATGAAGAGGGAAAGAAGAAGAGGAAAGAAATTTTAGAGAGAGAAGTGAATTTTTAAACTTTTCATGTTTGAGTCATACCAAAAGCACTTATTACAAAATATAACATACTTCTATTTTTTCTTTCTTTTTTTGAAGAAAAAGGAAAATTAAAGAAAAGATTACAAAGAGATCATCCTGTAGAAAGCAACCCCCATGCTATCCTCTATAAGGATATTTCTACAACCCAAAGAAGATTCATCAAGGACGTGTGTATCCTAGTCATCATTACAAAAATTGTTAGCAAGCCAATCAGCTAGTTTATTACTCTGCATGTGGGTATGGTTGAAAGTAATGTCCTAGGGCTTGTTGATATAGCAGTGGATCCTTTCGATCAACCTAGAGCAAGGGTGGTTGGTGTCACCAATGTTGTTAACAAGTTACAGGGCAGTTGTTGAGTCACTTCTTAGGCAGAGACTTCTGATGTCACTTTCCCAAGAATTCTTATGAAAATACTCCTGAGAGTGAATTAATAATTTAATCACAATTCTCATTTCTTTTGGGTAGGTATAGATTAGTTACATGCTCAATTTGACCCTTAATATATAGTATATTGGGAGCATATCAAACAATTCTCATATTTAGATATTGTTGTCCTCAGCAATAAACAAGAATAAACAATATCAAGTAAGAAATCAACCTTGAGAGAGAAATCACATGAAATTCTAGCATATCATTGCATTAAACAAATAATTCAGAGCAGATGCTTAGGAGAATACTATGCTAAGCATGAATGACTTTTAGCATTAGTTTAGCATCCGTTGTGGCCGAAGTAGACTCCACACAAGTGACAACATTTGACTCTTTAACAAGGACCATAAGGTTATTTAAACCTTTTGTGCTTCCAAAGTTGACTTGTGATCTATTCATACCTTTCTGGCCGCCCCAGGCTCTGTTACGAGGAAGATACATCAAAAAGTGGGAAGGGGAGGGTGTTAATTTGGTACCTTTTACACCAACTTTATCCTTTCCTCTATTGTCAATCTCTTTACAATGTTTAGCAGCTTACAAGGAAGTTTTAGATGCCTATTTATCTCGAGTGTTGACATGGTTGTTGTGTTTGGGTTCCTGAAGCTTAATGCTAGTAAGATGGGATTTTTTCGGGTTTGCAATATCTGTGATAGTTGCTAGCAGGGCTACAACAACTACCTTTGTACCTTTTGAGAGGTTTTGGTTCTGATCCCAGGTCTTTCATCAATAGTGTTTATCCTCACCGAAGAAGCTGCTTCAAAGTTTGCGGGGGATTGCACCGGTAAGGCTCTATGTTTACGTCCCTTGGAAGTCCATTGGATCACTATCTAGGCTCCAAAGGTGTTTGTTCTTTAGTTTCTGGGTTAGCCATTTCATTTTCAGGCGTAGTTTCTGGCTACTTATTCTTGGTAAAATCCAGACCGCCATTGCAAGCATTTTTCTTGTGACCATATTTGCCACATAAGAAACAAATGAGGTGAAGACCCCATAACCAACATTGTAAACCTTGTCTCAGATTTTGAACATGGATAAGAAACTTTTCCGGAGATCTACCACAACGCATATACTAGCATATTTAGCTTGCTCTGTGACTTATCTTCCCCTCCCTTCAAGCGCTCAAGGGAGTTTTTATCAACCTTGAGTGTTTTCCTAAAGAGATTTCCTATCCTCTATAGATGTTTTGATGTATAAAACTCTATAGGAAGCCCAGGGATCCTTAGCCATACAAGAAGCTTTCTCACTTCTTCATCATAAGGATCAAAGAAAAATCTCCATCTTGAACTATGACGTAGTGATCAACAACGATCCAAGGGCCTTCATGCAATATAAGGTGGTAGTCATGCTCATCATTAAATTTGATCAAAAGATTATCATTGTCGTGGTCAATAAATTTGTAGTTCCCTAGAAGGCTCCATAGTCTAAGAAGTCAAGACATGAGGAATCTTGCGTTGATTCTTTTCCCTAGGAGTTTTATGATCAGAGCATTCCTACATTGCTTGCGATCTTCCTTGTGCTCACTCTTAGAGAAAATATAGGAAGGGCAAAGGGGGTCAAAGTCTGTTACTCTCATGTCTTCATCAGATAAGGTGTTCTTTTCCTCTTCTCTTTTTGAATGGTCACCCAGTCTTCTTCTTTATTGTCTTAGTGGTTTCCATCTCCATTTAGAGCCAACAACTTATCCTTATAGGAAACTAGGTTCTTTCCTTTGTAGTGGTTGTTATAAGGAATATCTTGGTTGCACTGGTATTCATTTCGTCTGGTTCTTCTATTGTCTTCTCGTGCATTTTGTCATCCATAGATACATCTTTGTCTTCTCAA